AGGAGGAGGCCCCCCACCCCCCAAGCCAGGCCACAGGCAGTCACTGAGGTGATCCAGGCCACCTGCCTCCCCACGGGCCGCACCTGCCCCAGGTGAGCCCCCCTCTTGCCACCACCAAACCGTCCCCACGGCGGTTCCCTCGGCAGAGCTGCTCCAGCACTGCGCAATGAATCGTTCCAAGCTCCAGCGACTCATCACAGGGAGGTTCTTCAAGCTGATAAGCAGTGCTTGCATTTGAGCCACAAATAGTGCAGAATCCAGGACCCTGAACAGACCCTGCTGCCCTGTGCTGGACATAGCCTGGGCCGGCCCTGCCCTTCCTGCAGCCCAGGCCCCAGGTGGCAGAGACAGTGTCACAGCTGTCACCCCCCACCTGCTCAAGAGTGGGGTTCGTTCCCTAGAAGGAGCCCAAAGGCTTCAAGGAGCCCAGGAAGTGCACTTGAAAATAAGCTTCTGGGCCAGGTGTTCTAGGAGGCACACCTGGAAGCCCCCAGAGTTAGGAAATGAGCTCCAACATCAGACTTGGCTCCAGGCACCGCTACATGAGGGGTGGGGCCAGGAATCACACTCACCCCAATCCTGCCCCGACCCCAACCCATGCCCAACACTCGGGACTTCCTACGGCCACTTCCAGAGCCCCAGGCGCCCGTCCTGAGAAGGGACTCAGGTCAGTGGTTGTTTCTGCAGCAGAATTTTCTTGAAGCCCAAAGTGTCAGCAGCCAAGCGGAGCTTTCCTCCTGCGGGGAGGGGGTGGCCACCGGGGCTCGACCCCACCTCTGCCCTCCCCGCTCTCCACAGCTGTCCCTGAGGAATTCCACGGAGCACAGCTTGGGAACCAAAACCTCTCGTTTGACACTTCAGGGAACTGAGGCACAGAGAGGGCTAGCAACTGGCCCAAGGCCTTACAGCACATTAGTGACCCAACGCAGGCGGCACTCCATCGTTAACCAGCACTGGTGTCACAACCAACCAGCACTAACGACAGTGACACCACACCTCCCGTCTCACCTGCGCACACGCACACACACGTGACATGCACGCGCATGCCAGCCCCTCAGAGGCGGCCCCGGCCTCGGTGGTGTAAGCGGGGTGTGCACTTGCTCTGGTCAGCACGTGGGCACACCCTCTGCTCGCACCTGCCCACGAAGCCCTCGCCCTCACCAGGGGAGGCCTGAGTGCACCCTGTGGAGGGGCCCAAGGTCAGTGCTCACTATCTGCCTGTCCTTGACCTCGTTCCTGCTGCAGCCAGGGCTGAAGTGTCAGCTCTGACATCTGGGCCTCGGTCCCCCCGCCCCCTCACCATGAGGGGGGACTAGAGTCTAGCCCCTTTCTCAGGCGGCTGGGGGTGGGGAAGTGTCTACGAGGTGGTCTATTGCCGTGCGGGGTGATTTCCCACCCCCCAGCACCTGGGTGAGGGCCCTGGGACGGGAACCCTCTGTGCACAGTCCCCAGCCCGGCCGAGCAGCTACCCCCAGAAAACTGCTGGGCGGCCGCAGCCTCTCCAGGCACCTGCCATCCTCGCCGTGCTGCCCGCTCTCGGTGGAGGGAAACTCTAGGCCAGGCGAGAAGCAGACTCTGGGGCTGCACTGAGCCGTCTCATTTCGGCACCTCCTGCTGGTCTCCCCACAGGCGCTCTTCAGGCACAGCTCGGGGTCACCAGGCACAGGCGACAGGGCAGGAGGAGGGCAGGGGAGGGGCACTCCTGGGTCCGCAGGTGCTGGACTGTTCAGCAGGGAGGTGCCCACGGGCACACGCCTCCCCCTTGGCTGGGGCCTGGAGAACACTGCAGAGCGTTCTGCCTGACCGGGAACAGCGCCCTGGCTGAGCTGTGCAGACCCCAGCCTGCAGCGGACCCCGGGGCCGCTCTGGGATCACACACAGGGCAGGTGGAGGGACGCGGCAGACTTCGTATTTTTTAAGTATCGCAGGGTGAGCGCCCTGAGTGTGAGCAAGATTCCCGGCCAGTGGCCACACCCAGACCAGAAGGGACCCCACAGGGACTCGTGCCCACAGCACTGCTGCCTCCATTCCCTCGCTCCACTGTGGGGATGTGGCGCAGGCGACAACCCTGGCCGGTGAGCCCACCTGGGAAGAAGCAGCTGGGAGTGAGCAGCCGGCGTCCTCCATCCTGGGCGCCAGCGGAGTGATGGCCGCGACCACCTTCTCTCGGCCCTTGGCAAACCCCATGCTGGGCCAACAGCCTTGTCTCCGTGACTCACAGAGAGCCAGACGAGTTTTGAAACATTCGCTCGTCCATCTGTCCTTTCCCATGTGGCCCTTGGGCACCGAGCCAGGCACTGGGGCCGCGGTGGGGGGAAGACAGAGCTTCTCTTCTAAGGAACAAACCCGCTGTGGTTAAGGGGCTGAGGGCTTGAGACGGGGGCGCGCCAAGCCCCTTCCACGCCCTCTCCCACTGGCCAGCTCAGCCTCTCAGCACCGGGTGCCCCACATAAACCTCCATAGCGAACTACAGCACCAGACACAACTTCCCACTTAACCAGAGTGAAAGGAAGTTGCTGGCTTCACAGGTGTCTGACCTCCTGAGCCCACGGGAGCAGCGGTGCCGGCTGCGCAGCAGGTGTGAGGAGTAGGGAGTGAGGCAGACCCGACAAAGGCAGGACCGTGAGGATTCTTAAGGGTGGATACCAACGCCTCCTCCAAGGGACTCAAGGGTCATGCCTGCGACTCAGTCAGTGACGCTGCCCGCTCTCTTCCAAACAAGGCAGGCCTCTGGGCGAAGGGCAGCCCTGTCTGGCCCTCTCATCAGACCACATCCTGTTTGTGTTGGGTCTTTTATCAATGCAGTCTGCACTGCCCCCTTCTTCACCACCAGGTCCTCAATGGAATCCCAGGGCCAGGAATGCACAGCAATCAGAGCACACAGCACAAGTGCACCCCGGGGGCCTACATAAAGCACGTAGGACCCGGGAGCCACACCTGCTGGGTAAGAACCCGGAGCAGCTCTGCCCAGCCCGACCTGGGGTCCAGCCGCCCTCCTGGGAGCAGGCCCGCAGCACGGTGAGTACAATTCTCTCTCCATCAGGAACCCCACAAGGGCCCGCCTCCAGGTCTGGAGCTGGACGTGGGCAGTGGGAACCACGGGGCCGGGAAGGCCCACAGAGGTGGAGACCGGCACCTTACCTTGCAGCCCAGAGCAGTGCAGAGATTGGCCACAGCTGCCCTCCTCGGCTTGGTCCCTGGTCTTCCATCTGCGATTTTCCTGACAAGTCCTAGACGCTGGGGCCGTTTCTTGGGGTGTTGAGTGTCCCAATCTTCCACCAGGTTCTGGAAGGGGTCCCTAACCCCCCAAAGGGGAGAGACCCACCTCCTTCTAGAGACCCAGAGGCCATTCCCAGGTGGATTCATCCACCAGGTGGAATCCCACCTTGTCCAAACAGCTGTCTGCATCATTTCCTATGGGGAGGAGTCACCGTGTGAAGAGCCCCCATTCCGTCCTGGCCCGGGTGGAGACAGGCTTCCCCGAAGCAGGGTAGAGGCTGCTCCAGCCCCAGGGGATGAGAGAAGCTTAGCAGGGCTGGATTTGAGTCGAGGAGGGCTGCTTTTATGTTTTTTTAAGCTTTCTGGCTGAGTACTTTGAAATGTCTTCAAGGGAGCCATTTCTGGAAAGAGCTCTGGGGAGTCCGTGCTACCTTCCCCAGAACCTGCTCTCCTTTATTCCAGCCCCAGCTCCACTCCTCAGAGGACCAGCCAGCTCCGACTCACCATGGTCGTTACCAAAAAGGCTTCCTTTGCGAGCGGACAAGCAATTATTGCCAAGGCA